CTCCCCAGTTCAAGAAAGATGAAGAGCTACTGGAGAGAGTCCAGGGGAGGGCTACGAGGATGATGAGGGGACTGGAGCATCTCTCCTATGAGGAAAGGCTGAGCGAGCTGGGCTTGTTCAGCCTGGAGAAGAGAAGGCTGAGAGGGGACCTTATAAATGCTTACAAATACCTTAAGGGTGGGTGTCAGGAGGACGGGGCCAGACTCTTTTCAGTGGTGCCCAGTGACAGGACCAGGGGCAATGGGCAAAAACTGAAGCACAGGAAGTTCCGTCTGAACAGGAGGAAGAACTTCTTCCCTCTGAGGGTGACGGAGCATTGGAACAGGTTACCCAGGGAGGCTGTAGAGTCTCCTTCTCTGGAGATATTCAAGACCCGCCTGGACAAGGTCCTGTGCAGCCTACTGTAGGTGACCCTGCTTCGGCAGAAGGGTTGGACTAGATGACCCACAGAGGTCCCTTCCAACCCCTACTATTCTGTGATTCTGTGATTCTGTGATCATGCCATCTCTTCTCCCAGTTAAACAAACTCAGTCCTGTTAGCCTCTTATGCTGTATCCTCCAACTCCTTTACCACCTTAATGGCCCTCCACTGGATTCTCCACAGACTACCTCCAAATTTTTATTGTATTTCTAGAGGTTCATCTAACGCTACCCAGGGTAACTAATGGTAGCATTAGTAAACACAAAAAAGTATTAAAAGCAAGTATGAAGACAAAATAGATCTTACATGGGAGCATGGGCATCTCCAGTACGCTCTTTGTTAGGGTAATCAACTTTCTGCAACGACTTTTGTGAATACATATTTAGTATGCTGACGAAGTCGTTGCCTGGTACAGGTGGTACAGTCACTGGAGTTGTCATTAATTCTGCAGGCTGCATATTTGAAGGACTCTCTGGCTACAAAACAAACAGAATAGATAACTTAAAACTTGAGCTTAATAAATAAAGTAAGCGGCACACAAGATGCAATATAGATGCAAGGTTTGTCAGTATTCCATAATATTTTTAAGAAATCCCAAGTTTGCATTAACGGAGTCGTTTGTGGCAAAGGACAACCATCCCAACCTAGAATTATTATGTCTTGAATTTCCAAAGAAATGTAAATCCAGTTTTCCAAGTATTGCACCCATGTCTTTAACAACATATCATCGTGTCTCCTCCCACCTCTTTTAAGAAAAGACAGGGAACAAGCTGTGAAATGTCTTACTAAAAAAAAGCGAATGCTGCCTTATGAATTTTCTTGCAGCCTGACCAGAGCCAAGAAGAGGGATGGCAGCAGGAGCTGCAAAAGCTCCTGTGCGTATGTACAAGCAGGGAAAGCAGGACTTTTCAGCTGACTCATGATTAGGCAGCATTATATATTAGCAAACATGCAGCAATTGTGTTAAAGTAACGATGGTGACACAGCAAAAAGCCTATGGAAACAGGTAAGGAAAGATTTCACTCAAAAGGAGCTAAGGAGCATTCAGAGTCAAAAAGAAAAATAAAGACGGCTATGGCAAAACACATAGCAGAAAACAGAGGGAAAAAATCAAACCTAAACTAAATCATGGAAGGATAAAGAATATAGAATCAGCTATACGGTAAAGAATATAATGGCAAGGGTGAATCAGGTGAAGTGAAAGTAAGCAATTTTACAAGCAGAGTGGCAACAGACACACTGAACAATGCCCTGCAGATGTTTTGAAGACATCAAATTACTGAACAGTTGTCAAGATGAAAAAGGAATACTGTCCACTCTGGATATACCAAGGCAGCTTAAGAGAGGCAAAGATATTTCCTCATCCTCCTGTAACAGCAGAGGAGGAAATGCTCTTGATATTGCTTACCAACCCTGTAGCAGAACAATAAGGAAAACAGTTCGATGGTGAAAAGCAGAAAAGCAGTAAGACAGAACAAAGACAACCGAAATAATTAGAAACTCTTCCAAATTAAAGAAAACAATGATATTTTATTGGCTACTTTCAGAGCTTAATCTTCAACCTCTACTAGCAAAAATAATAATTAAATCCTATAGTTTACTCACCTTTTCCTCAATCATTTCCCAGGTTTTTTTTGCTGCTGCTGCTTTTGCTTCCTTCTTATTTTTACCAGTGCCTGTACCGTATACTCTGTTGTTTATTTTAACCACAACTGTGAACCTGCAATGAAAGAAACTTTCCTAAAATATTGTTACATTTTGTCTCATATATACATAATAACTGTTGCAGATTCATCTTTCTTTTTATTATCTACAGAGCACTGCAAGTTAACTGTGGAGGTTCTTCAGTATTCCTGTGTTTTTATTATACCTAACTCCTGATTATCATAATTCTTTAGCAGATAGATTTTTAAATGTTTCCTCCCTAGTCACAAATGCGTGTACTTTATTAGTTCTAAGAGTATTTTTAAATGCTTAACTGCTTTTTAAAAGCAACATTATTTAAATCTTTAAAAGCAAAAGAATGCATAAGGTCAGCATGGTTACAGGCAATGTGCGAAGCCCTCACACCACGACACATCTCAGCACTGCAAAACTACATGGAGAGGAAAGATTAGCTAACCCTGATTTCATGGATCCAGACACGACACCGCACTGACCTTTGATACACTGCTGCACACACTATTTAGTAAGTGCAAAAAACGTGCCTGGTGCTTCATGGGACATGAATTTAAATGCAGTCCCAAAACAAACAAACAAAAAACCCAGTCTTGCCCTTGCACACTCAACCACTGACCGCTTCCCGCCCCGCTGCACAACCGGGCCCGCGCTCCTCCCCATGCCGCAGCTCTGCGAGCCCCAACACAGAGCTGATGCAGCTCGGGACGGACCGTGCCGGCTCTGCCTGGGACGGCGCTAACCTCCTCCACAGCAGCCGGTATGGTGCCACGTTGTGGATTCGGGACTGAACCAGTGTTGGTAACACAGCGATGTTTCACCTGCTGCTGAGCAGAGTTTGCACAGCGTCAAAACCTTTTCTTTCTCCCCACTCCGGCCCCCCAGCAAGTAGTAGGCTGGGGGCGCGTGAGAAGCTGGGAAGGGACATGACCAGGGCAGCTGGTCAGAGGGATGCTCCATGCCTATGGCATCGCGCTCAGCACTAAAAGCTGGGGGAAGAAGGAGGAAGAGGGGACATTTGGGGTTATAATGTTTGTCTTCCCAAGTAATCGTTCCCAAGTAATCATTATGCATGATGAAGCCCCGCTTGCCTGGAAATGGCTAAACGTCTGCCTGCCGATAGGAAGGAGCGAGTAATTCCTTATTGTGCTTTGGTTGCACATACAGCTTTGCTTCACTTATTAAACTGTCTTTAGCTTGTTCCACAAGTTATTCTCCCTTTCACCCTTCCAATTCTCTCCCCCATCCCACTGCGGGGAAGCGAGCGAGCGGCTGGCTGGGGGTTCCACTGCCACCTGGGGTCAGCCCACCACAGCGGCCTAACAACGAACGGTTGGGTTTCAGCCAAATCCGTTCTTACCCAGATCCGACTTGTCCTGCAGCTGCAAAATCCCTAATGTTTCTGCTACTGCCTTTGCACAAAAGGCAACAGAGGAGAAAACAGCAACTAGATTTCTGCTTTTGGCAGCAGCATCAAGTTAAAGTGACCCTTATCATAACTCTGGGGTACGTCTGTACTTCAGATTGCAGGAGAGCGTATAGACACACAAGCTCACATTAAACACGACACATTCACACAAAGAAACAGTCTAGGTATAACACCATGAGTTTCTCTGTGGGATTATTCTTCTCAAATAGTGGAATGACTTCAGCAATTCACTTTTTTTTCGTTATTCCAACTTCACTTCCCATTTCCCTTTAATTAAATGTTTGGGTGGATGACAATGCAGATGCAGAATAGTGCCTGCAGTCATTGCATAAGCAAGCCTCAGCGACAGACCTTAAAGAGGTGCACAGTAGGACAAGGCACACCACAGTGTGTACTCTACGCATAGGAAACGGCATGCAAAAGAAAAAAAGCATAAAAGGTCTTTCGGAAGGGGTTTGTTAGCCAACCCATAGCTAAGCGCTGAACACTACACACATTCAGCTATGAATCTGCATCCAAAAATCACTATTTTATTTAAGCATCCTAAAGTAATCTGCAGTCTGAGTCTAAACAACCCATGAGTTAATTATCTGAGTTGAGGATTATCTGAATCAGTGTTACACAAGTTGGTCCCAAATGCACAGTCATGCTTATCCACCCTGGACCCCAAGTTAGTAAGAACTGCCCAGAATTGACAGGTTTAGGCAAGTCTGGCCTGGTTGTCCACACGCTGCATTCCCAGCCCAAGAAAGCTCGCAGCCGCTCAGGTCTGAGCCAGCCTGGGCTCTCCCAACCTTCTTACATTGCGTTCAGCACTGACCCTGCCAGACACTGCAGTGGAAGCAGCTACTGCACCAAAACCAGGACAGGACAGGAGGAGATGACAGGAGGTGTCTCTGCTTCACAGCTTATGAGATGGGACACAGCTAGGGATCCAGATGGGAAGAGCTAGGGATCCAGCTCCGGACCAGCAGTGGCCAACGTGTCCTGTTAGCAGGTGGAGCACTGGGAAAGAGCACCATGAGGGCACCGAAGGAGGTTTACAGCACACATCGCTGCAGCCAGACACCGTACATCGTGCTCCTTGGAACAGCCCAAGTTGTCCAGGGTTTTCCTAGATACCACTGTCACACCTCACATCACTTACAGATACAAGAGTTTGAATTATATTTGTGAATGTAGCAGAGCACACAGAAAAAAAATTAAAAAGCACAATAAATGGGATAAATGAGTAAATCTGAAATCTGTGAAGGTTCTGTTAGTCCCATGCCATCACTTTTGACACATGAAGATGTAGCTGTGCGACCACAGCTGTGGCCACTACTGAGATAAGGGTTACTTCTTTGAATAACATGACCCGCCTGGGGAAAAAACTAAGAAAACTGAATAAAATTTGAGATCCAGATAATACTTCTTCATTTATTCTGGGACTATGGTTAGGTCTAAGCATAAGTCAGTACAGACAGCGCTGGCTGGCAACATGGAAGATGCTGAAATAAACATACTAATTATTAGCATAAGGCTTCATGCAAACTAGCAAAAATAAAACAAAAAAAAAATCACACAAGGATACATCACAGGAGTGCCTATGATCTCAGACAAGGGAAAAAATTAGCAAAACCCCCTATTTGTGTTAAAAAATAAAACATATTCCATCACCTGTAATTGTCTCCAAAAGTAAAATCAAAAGAGCTTAAGCAAAAGACCCTTGTCTTGTAACAGATGTTCAAAACTTAGCTACACATAAAACATGTTGGTATCCAATCAATTCATATACACCCAACTTTTATGGTTAGAAATTAACAACATAAATCACAAACGATTTCCACGCTTTGGGAAACCAAATAAAAACCAAAGCCCTTGAGTTAGCATAGATCATAAACTGAAATACTTGCTGCAACCCACCCCACCTCCCGCGAGGTTTCATGGCAGACAGGTAGCATATGCACCACAGTCGCCAGTAACGTGTATCGCTGTTGCTTCCCAAAAAAGGGCCATTGACTCTGAAATAAGTTTTCTCCTCAAACTGTGTCACGTGGCGTCCTCCCCACTCACCCACCACTCGATTTCTGGTTTCAGCCAGCTCTCCTGCCACGTACAGACATTCAGCAAATTAACTTTTCTGACTGCAGGTTATACCCAGTTTGCTCCCTGCAGGAAGAGCCCTGATGTTCACCGGCAGGCGCAGCGGACTTACTCAGGATCATGAGAGGGGCCGGTCATGGAGACGTCGTCGTAAACCAGCCGAAGTTTCTGCTTTTGACAGTAACTGTTGATCTTGTCCATGCACTCACGTTCCATTTTGACAGGATCTCAGACAGGCTCTGCAAAGCAACAGAGACAGGTTCGCGCCTCCAGGCGCAGCACAGCCAGCCCCGAACCCCGGCAGACCGCCACCGTGACAGGAAAGAGAAAACTGGGGCCAGTGACACACACCCGCGGAAAACCAGCTCTAGCTCCGGCGGCC